TGTGTGTGTGTGTGTGTGTGTAAAAGGAAAGGCTCAGGAAAGAAGGAAGAAAGGGTAGGAGCAAGAGAGAATTTTAGCCCAGGTTCTTTCCTGTTTTACTTTGCCTTCCTTCACTTCTGTGTCCTGAACTCACACTTCCAAATAAACTTCCCATCCACGAACCATTGTCACAGTCTGCTTTCAGAAGAACGTGGGCTAAAATTCTCTCTTTTGCTCCTACCCTTCCTTCCTTTCTTCCTGAGCCTTTCCTTTTTTTCAGAGTGATATTACCCATCTACTTTCACACTCTCGCATATATATATGAGTGTGTGTGTGTGTGTGTATATATATATGAGTGTACATATATGTGTGTGTGTGTATTTCAGTATATATATAGTGTTTTTCCACCCCTTCCTGTCTTTTTGAACTATTGAAATTCCACGTGTGAAGTGAAATATAGAAAACAGCATACATAAGTTAGTGATTTTGCTGGGAAAGATAAGAAAAAATAAAATATAACTTTCCAACTTTGCACTGTAAAAATACGTTTTATGCTTGTGTGTTTGGTAGATTGGGCAATGATGGTTAACCCACACTTTCCAAAATTTTTGGACAGACATTGAGTGAACACTAGTCATGTGCCAGAACTGGGTTGGGCGCTGGGCTGGAGTGGTAAGCAGTGCTGACGCTGACAGTTTACCTGCCCAAATCTGCTGTATTTGAAGGTCTTCCGGTAAGATGACTCTAATCAGATCAAAATATCCCTGAATCAAAGAAAATAAGTTAATATCACTTTGAAAAAAGGGAAAGGCTAAGGAAAAAGGAAAAAAGGAAGGGTAGGAGAAAGAGAGAGAGAATCTCAGCCTGGGTCCTTCTGAAAGCAGACTGTGACAATGGTTCATGGATGGAAAGTTTGCTTGGAAGTCTGAGTTCAGGATATAGAAGTGAGGGAAGGAGAAGTGAAACAGGAATGGAAACAGAGCCATTTCCTTCCTCCCCTCAATTCCTTCCTTTCTTCCTCCTTTGTTCCTTCCTTCCTCCCTTCCACATTTCAAAATTCTTCTAAGTTAGATCAAGTATCTAGTCACCTGTGGCAGACAATGAAAAATGGAAATCGATGGAAGAAAGTAAGGAAGGAAGGAAGGAAGGAAGGAAGGAAGGAAGGAAGGAAGGAAGGAAGGAAGGAAGGAAGGAAGGAAGGAAGGGGAAAGGAAAGGAAAGAGGGAGGGAAGGAAGGAAGGGAGGAAGGAAGGGAGGAAAGGAGGGAGGGAGGGAGGGAGGGAGGGAAGGAGGGAGGGAGGGTCCTTGCAATTCTGATTTTTCAATCAGAAGCACCTAATAGAAACACAGCTCAAATATTTCTGCTTCTCCCATGTTGAATAATTATAGCTTATCTTTATTGTTTATCTCATTTGATCTTCAGAACAACTCCAGAAAGTAGGTATTATTTTTATTATAGTATTGTGCTGAAAAGCATAAGCTCTGCTGTCAAACAGCTTGGGATGAAATACAGGCTCCATCACTTGCGAGCTTTGTGACCTTGCGCAAACGAACCTGTTTAGCCTAAGTCTTCTTTAAATGGGCGATAATAAGTACAGCAAGTGTTTGTTGTGTGTATTAGATGAGTTAATATTTGTAAAGTACTTAGAATAGGTCTGGCGTATAGTCAGTTACCTTTTATAAATGCCTGTGTGTTTCGTTGTTTTTTTTCTGATGCTCTCAACTGTGGACAGATTTTGAATGCCTTCTGATGCATAAAATAGGAGAAGCACTCACATTAGCAGAATGAGTTTGAAACTCTGCACAGTGTGGTCCTCAACAGCAACAGTCCTAAACAAGGTTATGAGGGAGCCAAATGTGCAGGACACAGCCAAGAAGATTTGGAACGAAGGGGCGGGGCTCAGCTGGGAAAGCATGTTTTGAGCAAATACACATTTCACTGATCAACAGCTTCTTGCAGGATGTCCTCCCTAAGTCATTTCTGTAAAACGTAAAATCTCCATTCTAGGCAGGGTGCCATATTTTTCCTTTTCTGCACCCAATGAGAGTACTTCTTTCTCCCTGGCCATTTGCAGGGAAAATGAAGCCAAGATTCCATTTTAGTCCAAATGCTCAACATTTATGGAAATGTGTTTGGATAATTTACAAAGGACACCCCTCCTCTTCCATTCCAGTTGAGAGGTTTTAGAAACTCAGGGGGTTCTTTTCATTGCTTCTTACCCCAATTCTTTGTAGACTGGCAAAGAAACTTCCTCTCCCTCACTCCTCAGCACCCCACTGATTCTACAGTGTCTGAGAGGCCATCAGCATTTAAACAACAACAAAATGGTCCTCATCTGAAACCACAGTAACCCCACTTAGCACAACCAAGACTAGAGAGTCATTTAGAGAGCGAGTACCTTCATTATAATGTGGGAAGCAGAATCTCAGCTGGCTATGGAAGACTTCAGCCTTGAAGGAAGAGAGGGGGCTGGGAAGACAGAGAGCAGGAGGGACAGTAAAACATATCAGCCATTTTTCCAACTTGGGAGGTGTATGTAATATCGGCAGAAAGCAATCATTGCAAAATGTGTATGTGCTTATTTATTTATTGGATTGAATGTGCCCAGTCATCACTTCCCTCTAGGGGCAACTGGAAGAACCACAGAAAATGAGACTTACTCATATCTTGTTTTTACAGCTATAACTACTCCTACCAGACCCCATAAACACAAGTAATCTATTATATTCTCACCAGATCTCACACCCACCCTCGGATGGCAATACAAATTCCATTTATATTCCTGAGTCCTAAACCAGAATGGACTCATGCTTCTGGATAGTTATAGCAAGGGTACCAGAAGCTGGCTGTCTGACTCATTCCTGCTTGTAAATTTTACCCATCTACTTCCACACTCTCACAAACACAGGCACACAGACCCAGTAGTCTCCTGTCTGCACTTTCCAGCCAAATAATTTCACTCCTATTTCTTCGAAAACTATTTAAGCTTTCTGAGAATTGTGAAGTATTTTCTAAATAGAGTCCCCAAGAACACAGATCTCACCCATTTCCTCTATCCACCCTTGCCATCCTCTTCTTCCCCACCTACATAAGGACAGGTTCCCTCATCTAAGTAGCTCTGATTCTTTTCCTGTGACTGTCCCTTATTCTTATTGATTCAAACAGTTTTTTTTTCTTTTCCAATGGACCATGTCTGCTTTTTGGGGGCAGACATGGGGGCGGATTTCTTCCATGCTGTTCTCGTGATAGTGAGTGAGTTCTCATGAGATCTGAGAGTTTAGAACAGTGTGGCACTTCCCTGACCCTCTCCTGTCCCACCATGGTAAGAGGGGCTTGCTTCCCCTTCACCTTCCACCACGGTTGTGAGTTTCCTGAGGCCTCCCCAGCCATGCTTCCTGTTAAGCCTGCAGAGCTGTGAGATAATTAAACCTCTTTTCTTTATAAATTCCCCACTCTCACGTAGTTCTTTATAGCAGTGTGAGAACAAACTAATACACCAAACATTCAGACATGTGTGTGAACCTGGGAGATCATCTCTCAGACTCCAGCCCTCTTGCTTCTCAGGCAAGATATTGAAGGCATGAAGAAAAAAGGGGATTCATCTTCTCCTGGACAACCTTGAGAGTAGTTATTAGATTGTGACCCAGTATGCCAAGCTGTCAAAAAGGACAGAGATGTATCATACACAGGTATTCAGTTTGCAAGTCTCCGAGTCATTTTGGAAGAAAAGGACAGTTGAAAAGTTCATGTGAACCCATCCCATGTTTATGCTGGTTGTGGAATATAAATTACTAATAGTTATCAGTGTCGGTTAGAGGGATCAGTCACTGGCCTGGAGACATGGATTTGTAACCCTCCCTATAAACTTTATACAATTAAAGGAGAAGAAACACAAATTTAAATCAAGAAGAAAGGAGGGGAAGAAACAAAAATAAATCCAGCTTGCCGCACACTCAGCATTAACCCTGAGGGGAGCCGGCTCTCTGACCTGCTTCCTCACATTTGTTGGTGCCTGTTGACTCAGAATCATGCAGACCGTGTCACAAGATTAAAATTTCCCTTAACCGCTCTGTAGATAACAACTTGGGCATTATGAAACTTAAATTTTCTAATGGAGATGTTCTCTCAGATCCTGCATACTAGTGTAAGTACTGAGAAGAGGCTGACTCACTGAGGAGTGTTATTTCCACATTCTAGTGATTTCATCCTCGTTAATCCAAGTAGCCAATGACCTCAATTTCCCAGCCCCTCACTCTCCACAATCCCCTTAAAAACTCCAGCCCAGAACTTCTCAAGGAGCTGAATTTAAGAATCCCTATCATCTCACTCAGCCATCCTGTGATAATTAAACTCTTTCTCCGATGCAAACCTTGCTATCTTGATATATTAGTATGTTACAGCACGGTGGACAGGTGGACACACAAACCTGTAACACATTCAAAATTCATCTCTTTTTCTAAGACCATGGGCCATGCTCTCTGTGACGGTTAATACTAAGTGTCAGTTTTATTGGATTGAAGGATACAAAGTATTGTTCCTGGGTGTGTCTGTGAGGGTATTGCCAAAGGAGATTAACATTTGAGTCAGCGGACTGGGAAAGGCAGACCCACCCTCAATCTGGATGGGCACCATCTAATCAGCAGCCACCAAGGCCAGAATAAAAGCAGGCAGAAGAACGCGAAAAGACTAGATTGGTTTAGTGTTCTGGCCTACATCTTTCTCCCATGCTGGATGCTTCCTGCGTTCAAACATTGGACTCCAAGTTAGAACAGACTGTTGGCTTCCCTGCTTTTGAGGTTTTGGGACTTGGACTGGCTTTCTTGCTCCTCAGCTTGCAGATGGCCTATTGTGGGACCTCCCTTTGTGATTGTGTGAGTCAATTCTCATATATATATATATATATATATATATATATATCCTATTATTTTTGCCGCTCTAGAGAACACTAACACACTCTCCAACCCTCCACCATTGCCTTGGTTTCCTCATCTATAAAATGGAGATATTGATAGAGCACTCATGAAGTTATTGTAAGGATTAAATGAGATCCCACATTAAAATAATAAAAAGCTACTATTTATTGAGCAAAGTGTTTTAAAATCCATTTTCCAAAGGAAAAACACTGAATCTCAAAGTTACATAACCTTGTCCAAGGTGACAAAGGCACTAAGCAGCAGAGGTAGAACTGAAACCCCTACCTGTTGATGCAAAGATGATGCTTCCCCAGCCTGTTTTGCTGCTTACCATGGCATCAGATACCACTCTGCCTCATTCCGAGTTCCAAGGCTACAATATTTAAGGGTCTTGTCTGCCTGTCTGAGAACCAAACGACACATATCTTAGCACCTGCTGCTCTGTTTTCTTCAGTCCTTTATAACCATGTGAACAAACTCTTTAGATTTTATGAAAGCCAACGAAGTGAAATTTGTTGTCACCAATGATCCTGTTTCAGATGTCAACACCTGGAACTTAGGGTGCAATTCAACATCTGGGGCTAATTTAACTTACCCCGAGTAACCAGCATGCTCAATTGTGACCATGAAGCAGCCAGGCAAACCTTAAATCTAGAACAGCTGAATATACTTTGGGAATTTCCCTCCCCACTCAGTTAGAGCAATCAGCTCCAAGTGCCCAGCAAATGTCATCTAGATGCTGGTCAGGTACAGAGTCTCCTGGGTAGTTCTGAGACCACATGGCCCTGTCTTGCTGAGCATGGCTGCATCTCCCCACTTCTACCCCAATCTTCAGTTCCATTTCTGTTTTTCTGAGTTCCTATTCTGCACAAAGCACTGAGCTAGACTCTGAGCAGAGAGCAGAGATGATCATGAAGAGATCTCTACACCCTGGGCACTTAACATGTGACCAAAGTAGATTAGACAAAAACATAATTAGCGTGTTCTAACCTAACAGTTGTCCAGATAAAGTGATATCAAAGATGAAAGAACAAAAAAGGGTAAGGTACAATTACTATAGGAAGGAACTTATGGAGGAGATAATATTGAGGTAAATCTAAGGGTTTGCTTGTCTATCTCTTCCTCCCAAGGTCATGACCTTGAGGGAGGGGAGGTTCTAGTATCAGCCATGTTCTTGGCCATAATCTGCCTAAACAATCAATTCTCCATATCTATCTGCTATTTATACTAAATAAAAAGCAGATAGATATGGAGAATTTACAACAGTCCAGTGTACATTTTCCAAAGTCTAGAAAAATTCAGTCTTAAGTAGAACAATGTTGAGGATACTAGGTGTGATGGGTAATTGTATGTGTCAATTTGACTGGGCCACAGGATGGCCAGATATCTGATTACACATTAGTTTTCGATATTTCTGTGAAGGTATTTCCAGAAAAGATTAGGATTTGAATTTGTAGACTGAGTAAAGCAGGTGGCCCTCCACAACATGAGGAGGCATCATCCAAACTGTTGAAGGCCTAAATAGAACTAAAAGGTGGAAGAAGGTTGAATTTGTTCTCTGTGTGACTGCGTGAGCTAGCAAGTAAATCTCTGCCTGTCCTTGGAGCTCCTGGTTCTCAGGCCTTCAGGCTTGGACCTGAATCTACATCACTGGCTCTCAGTCCATTAAACTACACCACCAGCCTTCTGGGTCTCCAGCTTGCAGACAAGCAGATTGTGGCACTACTCAGGTTTCATAATTGAGTGAGTCAATATCTTATAATCTCATACTTATAATTAAATATATAGATATAGCCTGTTGGTTCTGTTTTTCTAGAGAACACTCACTAACACACTGACACAGTTTGGCTCTGTGTTCCCACTGATATCTCATGTTGAATTGTAAGTCCCCATGCTGGGGGAGGGACCTGGTGGGAGGTGACTGAATCATGGGGGCAGATTTCTTCCATGCTATTCTCGTGATAGTGAGTGAGTTCTCATGAGATCTGAGAGTTTAGAACAGTGTGGCACTTCCCTGACCCCGTCTCCTGTCCCGCCATGGTAAGATGTGCTTACTTCCCCTTCACCTTCCACCACGGTTGTGAGTTTCCTGAGGCCTCCCCAGGCATGCTTCCTGTTAAGCCTGCAGAGCTGTGAGATAAATAAAGCTCTTTTCTTCATAAATTCCCCACTCTCACGTAGTTCTTTATAGCAGTGTGAGAACAAACTAACACACCAAATATTCAGTGTAAACCCAATCCTTGAGAGAAGTACTTCCTGCTTTCCCCCAAAACAGAGTAATGATAAAGATACACCCAAGTTACAGTCATAAACAGAACACTGAATATCATGGCAGACAGTCAATTTCTGGCTAGTTCAACAGCTTTTCTTGTTCCTTTACCTTCTTGGTACCACATGCACTGAGCACTGGCCTGCCTGAGCTCAGTCCCATGGACTTCTCCCCTGATCCGGGCACACCTAGTGCAGGAAGGCCTGGCACAGGCTCCACCCAGCTGGTTCTGAGGCTTTTGCCTGCGCTTCAGTTTCTCCAAGGTACAGATGGCTCTTCCTCAAATTGGAATGGTAAGATCTCAGATTTGAGCTTCGCATGGGCAAGCAGAGGGAGCAGCCTCTTGAGTTCACAATGAGAAGAGACTATGAGGCTGAAAAATCTTAAAAAGAGATATTTGCTCTTCTGATTTCCAGCCTCTCCCAACTCAACCCTCAGACTATGCTACTGCAGTTACCACCGCTCCTCATGAGCAGAAGCGAGCTGCCCACCTGCTAAGAACGTAGTCCATGTGTGAGAATGCCACTTCAGACCTTGGTAGGATTGTCTCCCAACTGGTTTATACTCTTGGTTATATTCACACATCACCTATGCCACTATTTTCTTAACATATTTTAATTGATCTAATAGATTCACTTTTGAAACTTAGCATGGTCCTAGACAATATGAAATTATAGTTTGATGTTCCAATTCTATATTTGGTATACATTGGAATAGATATATGACTGTCAAAATTTTTAAAAAGTAATTGCCGCTTTACCACTTACGATCATTTGGCTTACCACCAGGGATGTAGGCAGACCACACTTAGGGAATTGCCTTCTGATGCTACAGTTCTATGATTATCACAGAAGAGGTTTGAATCTGCAAGAAGGAAAGGAGAGGTGGTACTAGTTCACTGAGGAAAACAGCATAGTGAGATAGATGCAATTAAAAATGTACGAGAACAGCAGGAAGCACAGATTCAAAGGTTTTTAAATAGAGATAAGAGCTAGGCTGATCCTTGGAGAGGAAAATGTGTCCATTCATGGCCTGTTTTTTTCTGAGCTAGTGAGTAAATTCCTATTTGTGTTTGGAGAAAGGAATGTTGTTTTTCCCCCTTACTTGAAAAGAAAAGAAAGGATTTTATACATCTCTTTGTTTCGATTGGCTAGAGAGGGCATTTCCTTCATTTCTACCAACATGTTTTCGTTTGTAGTTTGGGGTTGCCAGTGGAAAGAAAATGACAGCATTTTGCTGTACATATCAGAATGTGTACAGATAGCATAGTTTTCCACAAGACCTGAATCTCTCTGTAAAGAAAAAGCCACAGAATACTATTAATTGACTAAATTTCAAACACTATTGTTTGTGTGTGGGGGAACCAAAATTTTTTTTTTCGAGATATAGTTTTGCTTGTTGCCCAGGCTGGAGTGCAATAGTGCCATCTTGGTTCACTGCAACCTCCACCTCCCAGGTTCAAGCAATTCTCTTGCCTCAGCCTTCTGAGTAGCTAGCTGGGATTACAGGTGCCCGCCACCATGCTCACCTAAGTTTTTGTATTTTTATCAGAGATGGGGTTTTACCATGTCGGCCAGGCTGGTCTCAAACTCATGACCTCAGGTGATCCACCCACCTTAACCTCTCAAAGTTCTGAAATAGGCGTGAGCCACCACACCAGACTGAACCAAAATCTTAACAGAAGTTTTCAAAATATGCTTAGCATGACCATAAAATATGTTGGTATTTTCTCCATGTATTGCATCAGAATATCTACCTTCTCCCCAGAAGAGCATCTGGGTCATAAGTCTTGAAACTTTCTATACCATAAAGGAAGGAGCAGTTCTGGGGGAAATTATTGATATTGACAATATTTATTTTTATTATCCAACTTTGAATTTGAACACTCTTTCCCCTTTTAAGTAGTCTCCAGTCCTCATGATACAGGACACACATCCTCAAGGTTGCTGGAAACTTTCTCCATCACCTTGACAAAGATATTCACAAGAAAGCCTCTAACATCGTTCACCCTTGATAATATCTGCCACTGTTCCTCCTCCAGTTACATTTGCAGGCTCTGCCCTCACAAAAAGGATAGAACGAGCAGAAAAGAGTATGGCATGTTGGAAAAAGTATTATCTTTGCAGTAAAATGAGCTTGGTTGAAACCCCAAGTCAGACCATGTGACTAACTGCTTGTCTTAGGGGAAGCAAACTTTTCTCCAGAGACAATTTATCTGGTTTGCTCTGGTAGCAGTTGAAATATTTTTGTGATTATAAATAGTTGTTGCCCCAAGATTCCTTGGTGCACCTTCCCATGCCCTAGCCATCCTAATTTGCTCCTAGGGAACTCCAGGACCTACGGCCAGAGTACTTTCAAATAATCTCTGGCTGTGTTTTTCTGATGTTTAAATATGTCAAATATCCTTCTTGGTCTCTGTGTACTAATCTGTAAAATGGGATAATAATACTAACCTCAAGGATTATCATGGTGATTAAAAGAAAAAAAATGAAAGCATCTGACAATTAGCAAATGATCAACAAATGCTGTCTTTGCTCTTCGTGTCAAAAGGATTCAGCCGGGCGGGCGCGGTGGCTCACACCTGTAATCCCAGCACTTTGGGAGGCCGAGGCGGGTGGATCACGAGGTCAAGAGATCGAGACCATCCTCATCAGCATGGTGAAACCCCGTCTCTACTAAAACAAAAAATTAGCTGGGCATGGTGGCGTGTGCCTGTAATCCCAGCTACTCAGGAGGCTGAGGCAGGAGAATTGTCTGAACCCAGGAGGCGGAGGTTGCGGTGAGCTGAGATCGTGCCATTGCACTCCAGCCTGGGTAACAAGAGCGAAACTCCATCTCAAAAAAAAGAAAGAAAGAAAGGATTCAGCCTTCAATCAGAGAGAACTTTCTTTCCTATTATTTCAAATAAGTATTTTTAAGCTCAGGACTCAAAACATACCCCTCAACACACACACACACACACACACACACACACACACACACACACACACAGGGACCTTGTCACAACAACGTTGTAGCCCAAAGATCAGAGGGCCCTGCTAATGTCACAGCCCTTAACGGTGGGCAAACATGGCGATAGTCTTGAAAACACAGAGTTCCATGTCTCCAAAATCTTGGCTCTCTCATGTGCTTCCCTCCCTGCCTCTGAACTCCCTTTCATGGGCTGTTGGATCAATTTTACAACATGTTTGAGTAAGCTGATGAGGACCTGAGGGAGCAGCCCTGGCTCTGCCCTGGACTAATGAGGAGGGGAGCTGGGCTGCTGAATGCAGGGAAAGCAAACTCTTCTTTCCTGTTCAAACCATGTGCTGAAAAAGGACCATTTTTGCTCACTCGTGCAGTTTTTTTAACGTCCCCCAGTTATTTGAGCCTGAAAGTATAAATCTGAGCTTATGCCTGACACGGATATTTTTCAATCAGCCTATTTTAATTGCAAAAATGTTTGTCTTTGTCTTGAAGTGAAAATATAATAACATAGTTCAGTGGAAAAAGATGTTCCCTGGATTGGTATAATTGAGACTTTCTGTTCCAATGCACCATATAAAGACCAGAAGCCATACAGGTTTTCTCCTTTCATATTGCCTCTAAAACCTAAAAAGCCCTTACCCCAATCTGCATTTTTAAAAATTAAGATAGAGTATACACAGAGGCAAAAAAATTTACTTACATTGCTGCCATTAAATATCCTCCTTCCCCAAACTCTAAGGTGATTTTTTTGTGTGTTTTGCATGTATTGCAATAATGTCAGTATCAAGTAGGAGTCTCCACAGGGTGACATAGTGGAGGCCTTCTCTCTTGCCAGGAAACTGAGAGTTTGCTTTGAGCTCTCTTGCACACCCAAAGTTGCCACTGGGTTAGAAATTTCTACTGGCTTTAAGAAAACATGGTTTAGCTTTTATATCAAAGATAAAACTTTGTTTAGACCCATCATGGGTTGAATTGTGTCCCTCCAAGAGCTACTTCGATGTGCTAACTCCCAGCACCAGTGAATGTGCCTTCATTTGCAAATAGTCTTTGCAGATGTAATCAAGGTAAGAGGAAGTCATGCTGGCTTACAATCAGCAGAAATCCAATGACTGCTGGCCTTATCAGAAAGCCATGTAGAGATACAGAGATGCAGAGATGCAGATGCACAGGGAAGAATCCAGTAAAGACAGAGGCAGAGATGAGAGTGCTGCAGCCACAGGACAAGGGATGCCAAGATGCCAGCAGTCATCATTTGGTAGACAATGCAAAGAAGGATTCTTCTCTAGAGCTGCCAAAGGAGCACGGCCCTATTGACACCTTGAATTCAGAATTTTGGCAGCCAGAACTGTAAGTGAGTAGAGTCTGTGGTAATTTCTTAGAACATCCTTATGATACTAACGTAAATCCAGTTCCTAGGATTCAACTGAGTTTGAAATCCTAGGAACTGGGTTTATATTGGTATAAATATAATATATCTTGTTCCCACAAAATGGTAGGCAGTGTTATCCTCTGGGTTATCAACTGGGTTGAAAAAGAGGAAAACACTGCCTACCATTTTGTGGGAACAAGATTACGTGGCCAAGGCTCCTAAACAGGTTGAAGTAAATGCTGCCTTTGCAAGCCCCACCTGAGCAAAAAGTGTGACTGCCTCCTTGTTACCTCTGACAGTCTCTCCTGACCTCTCCCAGAGCATTCTGGTGCTTCAAATTCTCTTTACATTTTTATTTTATTGCATTTTATTTTTGAGATGGAATTTTGCTCTTTTTGCCCAGGCTGGAGTGCAATGGCATGACCCCAGCTCACTGCAGCCTCTGCCTCCCAGGTTCAAGTGAGCCTCCTTACTCAGCCTCCCAAATAGCTGAGATTAGAGGTTCCTGCCACCTAGCTAATTTTTGCATTATTTGGAGGGTTTCACCATGTTGGCCAGGCTGGTCTCAAACTCCTGACCTCAGGTGATCCACCCACTTCGGCCTCCCAAAGTGCTTGGATTATAGGCATAAGCCACCATACCTGGCCCCCTTTACCCTTTTAGAATTTCCAAGTTACAGGGCTGGGAGTGGCCAATTTACAACCTAAAAACAAATACTGGGGTAAAACACATATGACGTTCAATCCCTGCTCAGCCTCTGCTTTCACGGGGTGTTGGGAGATCTCCCTGGGCCTCATTGGCCCATTTGCAAGTTGGGGAGAGTCATGGTAACTTCACATGGTTTGGAGATGTTTGCATAACATAATTTATGTTAAAATTCTGGTATCCACCAGTTCCACAGTAAAATGTAATTTTCCTCATTTCCCCTTCCCAAGAGACACAGATACTATGAATTAAAGATTGCAAGAAGACGTTATATGCTGTTGGTTAAAATGCAAATTAGTTCAGTCACCATGGAAAGGAGTTTGGACATTTTTCAAAGAACTAAAAATAGAACTTCCATTTAACCCAGCATCTCCATTACTCGGTACTTAACCAAAGGAAAATAAATTGTTCTTCCAAAAGACACATGCACTCACATGTTCATCTCAGCACTATCACAATAGCAAAGACACAAAATCAACCTAGGTGTCCATAAGTGGTGACTGGATAAAGAAAATGTGGTACCAATACACCATGGAATACTATGCAGCCATAAAAAGAATGAAATCATGTCCTTTGCAGCCACACGGGTACAGTTGGAGTCCATTTATACTAAGTCAAGTAATGCAGAAACAAAACCAAATGCCACATGTTCTCGCTTATAAGTGGAAATTAAACTCTGGGTACACACAGACACAAAGATGGGAACACCAAGCACTGGAGATTCCAAAGAGAGGGAGGCAGGGAGTGGAGAAGGATGGAAAAATTACCAGTTGGGTGCAGTGTTCACTACCTGAGTGACAGAATCATTAGAGGCCCAAATATC